AAGAAAAACACGAAAAACGTATTACTTAATCTTGTTTATGACTAGTTTTTATAGTAGTTTACGAATAATTTATAATAAAAATGTAACGATAATTTGAAAATAGTAATAGGAAAAATGTTATTTATTATAGATAACTGACGATCTGAAGATTGAGAAACACTGCACGGAGAACAAAGTGTGATTGGTGGTTGCCGGACGATTGCATCATACACGTTCCAGTACATTCTAGAAGCTTAAAATCCCACGAAAAGTAAGCAACGTATCGATGATATCTATAAATGAAATACTGCTAAACGAATGAAAACAAGTAAATTACAGAGATTAGATTTCATCCGTATTGTATTTTATTTAAGTCTAACAGGAATTTTCGCACGTTTTCTGATAGAATAGGTAAAGGTTGGGTTAGAATAAGCACTAAAGGGGAGGGGGAACTATTCCATGCGGTAGCGCAAGCTCTTTCACAAAATCTCATTCTCTTGGCGAGACAACGTGCGGTCACGCTGCGACGATTTTCAATTACTTTTGCAGTTGCTATTTCTTAACCAACGACTTTTGCTATTTCATTATATAAAGGTAAATGTATTTTAACCAAACTATTACTCTTCATTTTACACGAAATACAATATAGCTTTGTTGATGCCATTAGCCGGCTAAATAGTATTTCAATTTCATTAGTGCAATATCTATCTTATCGCTTATTTTTTTGTCCGATTTACCTAATTTATTTCAATATTAAAGCAATTTTCATTATGTTTATATGTTTTTAATAAATCCAAATGTATACGTGAAAAACTAAAAATACTTGAAAAGATACTTAAAGATAACGAATTCGCGATAAAAATATCAAAAGTTTTCAATATCTGAATATTCTAAGTCTCTTGTACTATATTTTTGTTTTATAAATTTAATAACGTTATTTGTTGTCTTTCGTTTTTTCCTACTAAGTTGGCCGGTCGGATTAATGCGTATGGTATGTTGTAATTTCAAATAATTAGAAATGAATTATACAGAAAATAAAACGAATCGTGTAATTCATTTTGAAATAATAGAAAATATTACAAAATACAAGTAGTATTCATTGAAGACTGTTAGTCGTCCTTCACGCGTAGTTTACATAACCATATTTATTTTCAAGATGTAATGTTACGTTTATCTTGCGTTTTCATTATTTTAAGTTATTGTTATTATGAAAACCAACTAATTTCATATGTATGTAGAATAATTAAATGATTTTATTATTACTTAAAAGTGTACCATTTTCATAAAATGTTATTTTTACGAATTTTATGCAAGTACTTAAACTTTTAAATCGTGTGTTAAAAAATTATAAAAATAAATAAGTAAATGAAATGTAACAGTTTTTGTTTATTTTTTTCAGATGCACAGATTACCAACTGTGTTGCGTGGTGCTGCTTTGCGTCAATTACAAACTCGTACCTATGCCAAAGATGTACGTTTTGGATCAGAAGTTAGAGCGCTTATGTTACAAGGCGTAGACATTTTAGCAGATGCTGTTGCCGTAACAATGGGTCCTAAGGGCCGTAATGTTATTTTGGAACAAAGTTGGGGTAGTCCAAAGATTACCAAAGATGGTGTTACCGTAGCTAAGGGAGTAGAGCTGAAGGATAAATTTCAAAACATTGGAGCAAAATTGGTACAAGACGTAGCAAATAACACAAATGAAGAAGCAGGCGATGGTACCACCACAGCTACAGTGTTAGCAAGAGCTATCGCTAAGGAAGGTTTTGAAAAAATTAGCAAAGGTGCAAATCCTGTAGAAATCAGAAGAGGTAAAATAATATAAATATAATAATTTTACATAAAGTTGCAATAATGTTTAGACTACAAGTTTTTAAAATTAATTTACTTTTAGTTATTAAGTAATGTAATTCCTTCTGAATCGTCTCTATTATATTACAGGTGTTATGTTAGCAGTTGATAAAGTTAAAGATGAATTGAAGGCTTTAAGTAAGCCGGTCACTACACCGGAGGAAATTGCTCAAGTTGCAACTATCTCGGCTAATGGAGACAAAGCCATTGGTAACCTTATTTCTGATGCAATGAAAAAAGTTGGAAAGGAAGGTGTTATTACAGTAAAGGATGGTAAAACCCTGCACGATGAACTTGAGGTTATAGAAGGAATGAAGTTCGATAGGGGCTACATATCTCCATACTTTATAAATAGTAGTAAAGGAGCAAAAGTTGAATTTCAAGATGCACTTTTGCTCTTCAGCGAGAAAAAGATATCGTCTGTACAATCTATAATTCCTGCCTTGGAATTAGCAAATTCACAGCGAAAACCACTAGTCATCATTGCCGAAGATGTTGATGGCGAAGCTTTATCGACTCTTGTCGTCAACAGATTAAAAATTGGCCTACAGGTGGCTGCGGTTAAGGCTCCCGGGTTCGGAGACAATAGAAAAGCAACACTTCAAGATATGGCAATTTTGACCGGAGGCATTGTTTTCGGAGATGACGCAAATCTTGTGAAAATAGAGAATGTACAGTCGTGTGATTTGGGTGAAGTAGGAGAAGTAGTAATAACGAAGGATGATACACTCTTCCTTAAAGGCAAAGGGAAAAAGAGCGACGTTGATCATAGAGCAGATGTACTTAGAGATCAAATTGCAAATACAACTTCAGAATATGAGAAAGAGAAACTGCAGGAACGACTGGCAAGATTAGCATCAGGAGTTGCAGTTTTGAGAGTTGGTGGCAGTAGCGAAGTAGAAGTTAATGAAAAGAAGGATCGAGTTCACGATGCTCTTAATGCTACCCGTGCTGCTGTTGAAGAAGGCATTGTTCCAGGAGGTAAATAGAATTCTTCCTTGAAATGTCTTTTTAAACTACTGAACATTGCTACTCGTTACTTATTATTAATATTTTCATTTTAAAGGTGGAACTGCCCTTCTAAGATGCATACCAGCTTTAAAAGCTCTTAAATCGTCAAACAGCGATCAAGAGACGGGAATAAAAATAGTAGCGAACGCCTTACGTATGCCATGTTTACAAATTGCTCAAAATGCTGGTGTTGATGCGAGTGTGGTAGTCGCGAAAGTCAGTGAAAGTAATTTAGGCTACGACGCTTTGAATGACGAGTATGTTGATATGATTGAGAAAGGAATCATTGATCCAACTAAAGTAGTACGTACAGCGCTTACCGATGCTGCGGGTGTTGCATCGTTGCTTACAACCGCGGAAGCAGTAGTCACAGAGTTGCCTAAAGAAGAACCTCAGATGCCAATGGGCGGTGGTATGGGAGGAATGGGAGGTATGGGTGGAATGGGAGGTATGGGCATGTAAAAAGTGAAATCTCACAGAAAGACTGACTTTCATATTGTCATTAATATTTGGCCAATACCGCAAATTAATCACAAGGTGAACTTTCATGTTGTACATGGCGATTAGAGTTGTAAAATACACAATTACACTTTCCAATTATGTAATCAGAAGGTCGAATGTGTTTAGTAGAGTTATACTTAGAAATGAAAGATACAGAGACAGACAGGAAACAAATTAGTTGTCTACACGTTGTAATATTTATTCCATAATCATCTTCCTTTGCGTTGCATTTATAAATATATTATCGTTCTACCGAAAGCACACGTATTTAAAAGAAACATGTAAATTTACTTTTACAGTTTATACGAATGTTGTACGTGGAAAAAATATTACAGCTTTCTCCAGTTCTGGATAATTAAATGAACGAAATTTAAATATGAAATTTAAAGATTTGTTTTTAACGCGATAAAGCACGTATTTTCGCCGTGTTAGATGTTAATCGAATCGATTTACCGTTATGCCGTGAACAATTTGTCATTAAGATGTAAAAGCAAAGTGGTTCTTGAGTTTTTTTTTATTCAGAAAAGGAAAAAAACTCCGTCTGCGTGAATGAAAGAGAATGCAAGTGTGTACCAAACATACGTATTGAGAATAGGGTAGAAAAGCAAGTTCTCGTAATTTTTTTAAATGTTACAATTTATTTTCCATTTTTTAGTCTGAATAAAAATATGTTTAAATCATGTCATAATTGTTAATCGCTGACAGAGATATACCTCCCTCTATTAGAAAATATTAATATAAAATCTTTACAAGGTTTAGTAAAGAGACAGTGTTGCCAGGAAAAAGTCGATAAAACTAAAGTGCGAATAACATACCATCATATTTGACATGTTTAGGATGTACGATATTCGTTACCTTGCCACATACAAAAATGAAATTAGAATCAATCTTATTTCAGTATAACTGTATATTTACCTTTCCCTCTGGCACTGTTCGCATTCATTTCATAAACTGAGTTTGAATATTCTGTTACAATCTATCTATATAAGATAGTCGAGCATACAAAATGTACTATTTAGTACATTTATCATTTTTCCTATATCGTGTAATTATTTCAATCGAAGGAATATCATGCGAAGCAAGTTGTCTTTCAATATAAAAATTATAATTAAATTAAGACAATCATCTTATTATGTATATCTCTTTCCTATAAAAGTTATTTTGTTATGTAATATGCAAAACTATTTCTTTATTTTCGATATTTTTAAAATTCTGTGATGTATCTGATCCAAGTGCTATATATCAATGAAGTGTTGATAGTATAAATTGATAGTATAAAGTCATCACAATTGAAAATATAATCATGAAATTTATCAGTAATATGTATCATTGCAACAGGAATACAAAGAACTAATACATTAGGAATACGATCATCTATTCTTTTTGGAAGTATTACGCATATTTCAAAGGTCTACAAATATTTAATAAAAAGCATAATTGTATGTCTTACGCGCTAATCTAGGCTCCAATCTTTTCAATTTCATCCGCGTCTTCCGCGTTAAGATAACATATCTTTTTGCCAAAATGTGCCTCGATATCTTTGCATATTGCCATTGCGTGTGGCGAATCTACCAAATTAATGGCGATTCCAGATTTACCGAATCGTCCCGTTCTGCCAATTCTATGCAAATACGTTTCGCAGTCCGCTTGTCGATTTTGATCCATAGGTAGATCAAAATTGACTACTATTGTTACTTGTTCAACGTCGATACCTACGAGTAACATGTTTTTAAACAATTACAATTGTTCAATCCATAGATGATGACATTCAAATCTATTTTATATGCATGATTACCTCTAGCTAAGACGTTCGTTGTGATGAGAACTTTTTCGAGGCCAGCTCTAAATCGATCCAAAACAGATATTCTTTGTTCTACTGTTAATTCACCAGATAAGACAGCTACCGCATGACCATCCTTTGTCATTTTTTCGGCTAACCAATTTGCTGTTTTTCTAGTCTACAAATAGGTATAACACATTGTAAACAAGGAACATTTCAATGTGAATGTAATTTGAAATAACTTACATGACAGAAAATGATCGCTTGACCTATTGTTATCACACCATAGATATTAGTAATAGCTGCATATTTTTCATCCAAGTCTTTACACTTTACGTAATATTGTTCAATGTTATCTAAACTTTCTTCTTCTTTCAACAATCGAATTATCAAGGGATTATTAACAATAATTTCTGCAAATTTCATTACTTCTGGTTCATAAGTAGCAGAAAAGAACATCATTTGACATTTGCGTGGAAGTTGCCTGTGCAAATACAGTATGTAATATGTAAATGCATACAATATTGAGAAATCAGTTATTTTTTACTTGACTTGACTTACTTGTGAATGCGAATACACTGATCTTGATGGCCTTGTGTAGCAATCATTACATCTGCTTCGTCTAAAACAAATACCGATATTTCGCTCAAGCTAAAAAATTTAAATTTAACTGCCCAATCTAAAACTTTTCCCGGTGTTCCTATGATGATGTGTTCTGTAATTTTTGATCCACGACTTACTGAAATAAATATCAATTAGAATAAGTGTCTACTCTTTACAGGCACATCGTATTCTTAAAAAAGGAAAGTAATCCAGAATATATATATTACTTTCTTCTCCTCTAACTGCATATTTAATTTTTATTTCATTGCAAAATGCAGACATTTTTGCTGCTACTTCTCCTGTTTGTATTGCTAACTCGTATGTTGGCGATAAACAAAGTACTTGAGGATAATTCTTAGTTGTGTCTACTCTGCTCAACATTGCTAATACAAATGCTGCTGTTTTGCCAGTTCCAGATTGTGACTGAGCAATCATATTTTGAGGCCTGTAGATTAATCATTCAAATTTGTAGTAGTTTTAGATGTGTTATAAAATACCATTTACACGATATAATATGAAGAAACTTACGGATCTGCAAGTAAGGTAGGTAATGCGGTTTCTTGAATTTTTGATGGTGCATTAAATCCCATTGCGTACACTCCTTTTAACAAAGCTGGTTTACTGTAATGTATATCATACAATATAACTTCTTTATAAAGAATTTAAAATATGAAAAAGTTATAAATTAAAAATATTAACAGATGGAGAGCTTCAAAACTTTTGACACTGTATAAAGGTGAAGATGGGTCCTTCCTTTGAATTTCTATGTCCTTTGTTGTTACTACTAAACCCTTACGTATGACTTTTTGTAACAATGATTTCTCTGCTGGCGAGATCTGTTCTTCTGTTCCATCTTCATTCTTGGTCTCTGTATTACTTTGTACATTTTCTGCAGGTTGTTTTTCTATGTTTAAGTTAGATACCTGTTAATGATTATCAATTAGAACGAAAAATGATTTTTTGCAGTTCGATAAAGCATTAATATCTCAATGTATACCACAACAAAAGGGAAAACTTCATTTACATGTACAGTGTTCAAAATCTTAGTCTATTAATTAAATGTTGGGTCCAGTGAGAAACATGCATAAACAAAGCAGTGTGAGGTTAAGCCGGGCATACATATGTATATGTATATTTGTATGCTATACATAACTTATATACGAGACGAAATTATTACCTTTGCAGACAATTTTTCTTGTTCATCCACATATTTACTCCATTCAAGTTTAGCCGAAGCCATATTAACATCGGCACGTAGTTAGTACGTTAGAAAACAACTTTCCTTTCACTCAGAATGCCAAATTGATAGAGTACATACACACTTCAGCATGAAATAATGTTATCACAGAGGACTTTTACATTGGCGAACTCTGATCATTTTCCAAAACCAATTTTTAGTGCGCATGCGTGTACTTAACATTGAAATTAAACTGAAATGAAAAAATATTAACACGTGAAAAATGAGGGAAATTTCTATATTATGATTTTGATATTAAAAAATGATAAAAATTCTGGGAAATTATGTAGTAACATTGAATCAAACTCGCCTCAATGATTCCCCACTACCTAACCAAGAGCTGCCGAGACTGTGTACCTATGCGAGCAGTTCTATGTATGTACCTAATGGTGTTCAATGGAAACAGGTAAAAATTAGATATCAAGGGTGTAACTTTCCTTGAGGGGAAAGTTACTATGGAGATTGCGAGCTCTTACTCCTACTATATAACATAACAGTAAAAAATCAAGTATAACGCTTGTTATTCGTGCATCAAAATGAATTCATTTTATGCGAGGGATTGCAAAAATGCGAAATCATGGAAGTTGATTGTCATGTAACGTTTGTTTGCTGACAGCCTCATCGTACGGCAAGAAGCGTAACTAATGGGTCGCATAACTTACTTACCAGCACTTACCCGGAACAAACAAACAGATAAGGGGACATTCATTTAGATTATTATTCGTGTATTTTACTTACAATCACAGAACAGAATAACTATGAAACTGACTAAAATTCAAAGAACGTAATAATAAATAATAATATTATTGACATTTCTTGTCGATTTCAGAATTCATTATATAAAATTTTCTGTGTAAAGTGATTTTTAAGTACTTGTTTCAATACTGCATATTAAATGTAATTTACCGTAACAATATAGACGTATAATTATTGACAGACTTGTCTGTCACGGATATAATCATTTTTAATATTTAATTATATATTAATATATAGTACTCTAGATCTATAATTTGCGTAATTCGCAGTTTATTTATTGACATGTATGCTCTTTTTTTGCGTTCAAAATTATAAATTCACCAGCTGTATATATTATACGATATATAGTAAACAGTAGCTTTTAAATGCACAGCACGTTGGATCTACCACATGTATTTTCATATGAAATATACACTGCATTTGACATATGTACAAATTAAGTTGCTAGGACATTTTACCTTCGTTCACGAAGATATATTATACAATTCATCTGCAGCCAAAAATATGTTGTTTTTTTTCTAATCTTTGCATAATTATATATAGTTGCTTTTTCGATTTTATGTATGTGTGCGTGTGTGTATGTATGTATGTATGTATGTATGTATGTATGTACGTATGTACGTATGTACGTATGTAGGTAGGTATGTAGGTAGGTAGGTAGGCAGGTAGGTAGATAGATAGATAGGTAGGTAGGTAAGTAGGTAGGTAGGTATGTAGGTAGTAGGCGGGGTGTGTGTACGTGTGTGTGTATTTATGTATGATGCATATATACCTTATCCTAGATAAGTATGTAAAATATGAAATGCACACTGAATTATACGCAGGCTGCTTCAATTAAATCGTGAAATATTATTTTTAAACACAAATGTAACTATACTATGCATTTTTTGGTATTTGAGATACAAGGTTGGCTTAGCTAGTATATCCTTTAAGAAACTTTCACAATAGCCGTGGTTTTAGTTCCGCTTGTTTGTGGTACAAGGCGAACGGTTATCAGTGAGAGATCTATCATTTTGCGTTGGTATTTTTTATGAAACACCATGGCAGCGGACTGCGTCTTAAACACAATCGTAGCGCTACGTTCACCCATTTGAATGCTCTACAACACGAATAACATACACAAATAATTATGAAATGAGAAGATAGAATATATTTATTAAAAACCAAAACGATGGATAGATTTATTACAAGATCATAGTAAAATTGGCAATAAATGTTCTTATGGAAAAATAATGAAATAGTCACCTCAATTGTTCCAATCCCTTGACACATACGCCTAATTTGTGTCTCGGATGTACTTGCTGCTAAATTCTCTACTTTCACAGTATTCGTCTTTATTTCTGGTAATTTCTTTTGTTGAATTGGTGTCTTTTGAAGTACAACTCTTTGATTGCTTTGAGTATTGACAACAACCTTTTGCGCATTGACATTCGTTACTTCTTGTACGCTGATGATAGTTTTCTGTAGACCTGTAGATGGTTTTTGTTTAACGATTCTCTGTGGATTATTGCCAATCTTCTGTCCAACGATTGTCAATTTCTTCGACAGATCTGACTGAGTTTGTAGAATTTTTTGAGTTGTACCCTGTACTGGATTATTTACTTTACTTTGTAATACCAGTTGACCTTTCTGTAGATTCGATACAGTCTTCTGTATAGTGGTTGCAATCTTGTGGGTATTCGATAACGACTTTTGTATTACGACTCGTCGCGTTCCAGACTGCGCATTCAAAGTTTTTGTAGTATCACTGGTTTGGCCAACTGTATGTCCAGAGTTATTATCCTTTGTAGAATCTATCGAGTCACTGGGTTGTACAGTTTGTATCGTTCTGACAATTCGCACACACGATTTCTCTGCCGCCTATAAGAAAAACAATTAAGATCAAGTCAGTTGAGTCACAGAACCATATTCCAGTTATGAGAAATACCAATGGTTGAAAGTATCGTTTATTATTCTAATAACAATTCGTCGATACGTCACGTGTTTCGAGAATATTATCGTGTAATGCATGGTTGTTGAAGTATTTTTAATAAAAATAGCTTTACGAAAATGACAACAAATTTGGAGGAAATGAAAAGGAACAAAAAGTACTTAAAAAATACATTTTATTGAAACATGAGTAAAAAATATACAGTAAAATCTACTAAATGTATATATATATATATAGATATATATATATATATATATATGTATATATAATTTATTTATCCTTATTTTATTTGAAATTCGTATATTTTTTTCATTCTGCTGATAATAATAAATATTTAAAATTGATATATTTCTTAACAGCGTGTAAAAAAATGCAACAGCACATGGTGATTAGGTAAAGAAGAAATGATTTAAATTGTAATGTGCGCTAATAATCTTTGACAGATATGCGTATACAATTGCAAACATATCAATGTATTTATATATACAATATACTCGAATAGTGAATATTATACTAGTATAATATAAATAAAAAAAACTTTAACAGGTATAACAAACCTACCGGTTACATTTTTCATCAGTGCAATAAGCATATATTGCTTATAATGTTTCGAAGCGAAACAAAAATTAGTAGAAACGAAGATTTCTTTATCTTATTCAAAGATTTACAAAATTACATACTTTAAAAAATTGTACTTCGATTGTATTTCAAGTGTTCCGTATCTCTAGTATCGGAAAAAATACAATATTTTTAGTGTTGTACCTCTGTAGCTTGTGTATTGATAGGACGACCTCGTCCTCTGCCAATACCGATATGACCTTTGTTCGTGGAAACATCTTTTACCACTCCCATAAGTACTGACACCGACTTTGCATCCTGTGCGCTTTCGCTTGCTGCAAAACCATTTCATGTTAAGCGTATATGCACATATATTTCCTCTTTGTACATATGTTGTATATAATACTTTAGTGTTATTAATAGGCGTTGCAAATTCCATGAAAGATAATAACAGTATTCGTACAGCTCTAAAATACTGAATATTTTGGTGTCGAAAGTAAGTATATAAGCATATACGTTTTAAAGTTTCCACGGTTGTTAGGAAATCGATATTTGGAAAAATACTAAACATACGTACATGTGTTACTTTCGTTTTTAGCTTCTTCATTTTGTTTCTCCATTGCAGCCATTTTCCGCCTATTCTCCTTCTCGCGTAAAATCTTTTCCCTAAGCCGCTTTTGTTCCTCCATTTTCTTTCTATACTCTTCCATCTCTGGATCACTCTCTTCGTCCTGGCATATTGAATTTATCAAAGATCGTAAGATATAATAGTTGAAGGGATCAAAGGAATATGATAAAATGCAAATCTATGTACCTTCTTTTCGTTACTCGTAGTATTCAATGTATCCACTGTTCGCACTTCATGAAGATTCCTATTGTTGTTAGCTTTCGTGCGTTTTGGACTTAGATCGCGTAAAGATCGATCTACCGGATCAGAAATTCTTTTTTGGGGTAATCTAGTTTTGACTAAAGTATTCATAGGAGGTCTGTTACTAGGCGATTTTTGTGCATGGTTTTGCTCGTAGCTCTCCCGGTATGTATTCGAGGGCGGTGGCCTATTCTTTTGAACGTAATCGCTTCTAGTTTTAGACGGCAAGTCTCTCTCGCGATAATTCTGATGGGCTCCTCTATGATCCTATTGCGTTATTTTGTAAGAAATAAATCGTTTGATTGGTAAGCAAGCAAGTTTCTATTGTAATCGATCGTACGTGTTTTATTTACCTCCTGGTAACTGTCTTTCTGATCCCACTGACCCGATTTATATTTCGAACTGGCCTCGTAATTACTCTCTCGCGTGTAATTACTTTCAGTGGAATACTGTTTACCGAGAGTTCCACTCTGACTACTCTTTTGGGGCTTGTTTTCTTGCCAAACGTCTGAGAAGTACGCGTAAGGATCCTACACGGAACAATTCACATCGGTTATTTAGCATTCTGTTGGAAATTGATAGTCGCACAGTTGAACGCTTCCGTATACATACGTCACTCTTATTTTGTTGATAATTTTGTTGATAATGCGGCGGCCCTTGTTGAGTCTGATTATACGAACTCTGATTTTGATAAGACGATATGGGTTGTGAAAACTGACTAGTAGGAATTTGTGATGACAAAGGTGTTTGTTGCTGTTGTTGAGCAGAATCCCATACCAGTCTTGCTGCTTCACATATTAGAAAAGTATTAGTCGTTAAAATAAGAAACCGTGCGCATCTTTACTGTAATATGTTATCTATACATATTAACGAAAGATGAACAACTACTTTGAACAACTTACCATCATTGGTCGATTGAACGGCACCTCGAAAGTGAGGATTGATTAAAATCTTGTGGCCTGGAGGTAAAGGTACATTGGGTACATTGGAAGCAGGTTGTTGCGGAACCGGTAACGTGTTAGTATTAAATTGGCTGGTAGGTACTTGATCGGAATAGCCGGACCTCGAATCGTAAACAGGTCGGTTCTCAAATTGTGTTTCTTGAAAACTTGGTCTGTTCTCGAAAGGTGCCGGATTGGATATTTGTACGTTAGGATGATTAATGGGTGGCCCCTGGGAAGGTTGTCGTGGAAACCCTTGCAGCGGTAACGTCTGATTCTGATTTGCTTGCAACAACGGCACCGAAGCGACAGATACCAGTGGATTTAGATTTCCAAGCAACGGCCCTCCTGGATTCCCTTGCAGCAGCGGAGCTTGATTATTTTGCATCAGACGAGTTTGATTGTCTTGTATCAGGACGCTGGAGTTTTGGAAAGGGCCCGGTTGGATTTGCCCGTACGGTGGTTGATTCGGTGGGTGGTTGTAAGCTGGTCCTTGCAACGATCCTGGCAAATTACCTCGAGGTCCATAATCTAACCTTGGCCCGATTATTCGAGGGCCTACTTGACCTTGAAATTGATTAGGGTTGAACTGCGGTCTACTATCTACAAAATGTGTAGGGCCTTGGAGTGAACCATTTGGTGAATAATGCTGGAAAGGTTGTACTTGAGAATTTGGTTGTTGATAGATTATCTGCTGATTTTGTACGTTGTTGGGTACTCCGAGAAGAAAAGGTGGTCTGGCTTCGAGTAACGGCGGTCTGCACACTGGTGCTTGATTATCGAAATTCATATTGCGCACGTTGTTAAATCTAACATAACATTTCACAAGTATTAAAAGAGAAAGAAATAAATTGTGTGGCAGAAGAGAAAGAAATAAATGAGAAGAGAAGAAAAGAAAAAGAAAGAGAAAAGATAAGAATAGGAGAATCGTTCACAAGTACCTTGGATTAAAATTCCCAGAATTCTGCGTATTAAATCTTCCTCCACGGCTTCCTCTTGTACTTCGACCTCTTCCACGGCCTCTGCACACTAACTTCGATGGTTCAGATGTTACAACATTTTCCAAAGTGTCCGGTATGTTGCTATTCATTTTTGGAGAAACTATGGTTCTCTCGTTTTGGAATCTATTCCTTCTTTCCTTGGCCTCTTCGCATTCATCATCCTCGAAACCTTGTCCAGTCGCTGCGTAGATTTTTGCATTTTTCTGTAACTTTTCTCGCAAATCTCCTTTGCCAATATTAGTAGAAGTATTAATATTGTCGCCTGCTGAACGTTCATCTTGTTGACGCGGTTGATCATTTTTGTACTCGTTAATTTCATCTCGCTCGTAATATTTCGATTGAACTTCTAGTCGATCTCCATCTTCGTAAAAGTCATTGTCATTACTTCTACTCGTCTTGCTTCTACTAAATTCTATATTTTCATCTTCACCATCTAAGTCGTCGAGTGCGTCGGTAACTCCTAAGTCCAGTACATCATCTGTCTCCTCTTCTCCCTTATAGCTATTCTGCTGCTCAGGGAATTAAATTGCCAAATATTTGTAATGAAAATATGACATTTAGCCGTAGTCGTTACAATCTACTTTTAAATAACATATTGGCTGGTAGATAAGGTGATATGTGTATATATGAATATGCATATGAATATGAATATGAGTATGAATATGAATACGAATATGAATATGAATGCTTGGAAATGATTTCTTTATGAAGAAAACGAACATGTGTTGTATGATGTTTAAACATAATATCGCAATACTGAATTCTCAAGTTTCTGTTGCCTTTCCATTTATAAAATTTGTCTAACCAAATGTAATCGCAAGTATTTCGCTAAAGTTCACCGTTAAACATGATTCTGCTTTGTGCAAGCGAACACCGAATGGAGGTATATATGTGTAGTTAATTATCTGAGATATATGTAACAATCAATACTTAATTCAGATGATAAAGTACTCTTTTTTGAGTGAACAGCTTCTGAATATCTTAGCTTATACTTAACAATAATCAGAAACATTATAAAAGTATATTATACATGTAATATAACTCTCCATAACAGCAATATGATATATAATAGTCTACTATCTTTTTATTAATTGTATACATTCGTGTCACAGTTAAAGATTCTTTGTTGTCATAATCTTTCATATACTTAAACAGTCTAATTCTGATAGAAAAATAAATTAAAAGTTCTCAGTACCATAATATTTCATATTGCTGTTTATTATGAAAATG